ACTGTAGTAAGCAGTACTCACGGCTGTATAGAATGTTTATATTCCTTTTAAACACTGATAGTTAGATCCAATCTTAATTTTTCACTATGTTTTTTACAATGTAAAGACGCTCCTCAAGGTATTTTAACACTCTGTTAGAAAATTCTCTGTCATATCAGTCAATATTTTGTTAAATATCTCCAAACTCGCGCTCACCAAAAATCGACCTGTCACCTCACGAGCGCCATCTTGCTTTTTTCCATATTGTAAATTATAACTATATAAATATTGTGTAAATATTGTTAATACTGATTTTATTTATATATATAAAAAAAATGTAAATAGAAAAAAAAAAATCTTGTTGTGTCTGACTGAACAGAACACGACGGCTGTCGTGACAGAGTCAACTACTGAGTAATTTTTTAATAGAAATATGAGTGTTTTCGACTCAAGAATTGTAAAATTTAGTATGAAATCTTAGAATACATCATTCATTGAGCCTCAGCCCAAAACTTTAACTTACAGGAAATTGTGTAATTAGTCACTCAAACAATTCGAATGTCTCAACTTCCTCTGTCGGGGTACATGTTTGTTCACAAATTTTAAAAAGTTTATTTATTTAATAATTTGTTTGCTCTTATAGGCCCAGTGTTTTATCTATGAGTCGATCCTTTTTAAAAAGAGTGAGTGAAAAAATTCTAAAATTTGTGTGTAACTGATGGGTTCAACATACCATTTTGTGAGTATTTGAATCGAATTGTTCTTCAAGGGAAAAAAGGAAAAAAAGCCAAAAGCAATATACAAGAAACCCTGCTTTTGAAAGCCGAAGCGTAAGTATGTCCCCTCAACCCCAGCGGTATACTCAGTAATACTATCATTGGATTTGAAAGCAGAGAGCAAATACTCTCTTTTTTTAGTGTGGTAAAGTGTAAATATTTGAAAAGTGTATATATTTTTAGTATTTTAGGATTTTGTGTTTATTTGATATGTTTAGTAATATTATCTACAAAATAATTTTGATATTATTATTTACAGGAAATTTATTTAATTTAAATTTATATTTATATTTCAGGAATTTATTATTTATTTAAGGTATATTATACTTTAGAAGATACAATTATTTAGGAATTACTTTAGTATAAATAAATATGTTTCCCTTATAGTATTTATAGTAATAAACTTTGAGAGGTCAGTGACCTATGAAGTGACCCATCAGTGAGATTTCATTGGTCGAGGTTTTTGGAGGGAAATCTCTTTGTGGGCAGTTTATTTTTGGTTAGAACTGGTCATACCAGTCTTTGTGTCAAAACTGACAGGATGTCTTAAATTTTTCCTGATTTCACACGATTTGGGGTGTAGCAGTTTATTTTGTTTTAGTGTTTAATTCCAGAATTTCAGGTCTGTTCTTTATATTATTTTCATGTATGATTGTGATTTTGTATGTTTATGTGAAAGTGAGTGAAAAAGGTGTTTGAATGGTGAATGCAAGTTTGAAAGATTGTGTATATGAGCAGTATAAATATTTTATCAGACATTTCACTCTAATTCAAGAATTAAATTGTATATATGTAGGACTGAGTGAAATGAATAAATAAGTCTAAAGTTGTAAAACTATTTTTTATAATTAACTTGTATAACTGTAATGTGATTAATAGTAAAATTAGGAATTTTATCTTTTGTTTCATATAATTTAAATAATTCTTTAAATTTAAAAGCATAGGTATTTTTCATTAAATAAAGCAGTTATTATTATTAAAGATTTTTAAAGCAGCTAAGGGAGATTACTCATTGTTATGCATTCCTTATAGGACTGTCACAGCTACATGTGTAACAGCTAGTATATAATCCAGACCTTTTGACCATATTAAAGGTAATTTATGTGTTTCATGTTTATGTGTTGTTCCATTATGTGTATGTGTTGACAGAACTTATTTTTGAGTATTTGTCATGCATGTCTATATTTTATGTTGAATTAAATTTCATGTGTGTTATGTCCAATGCATGAAATTGTATTTGTGTTAATGTTCAATATGAAATCACATAAGATTATTTGATTTAGAATTATTTAATATCAGATAATGATTTTGATAATTATTATGATTTTTTATTTTTAAATGACTAAATTAATAAAGGAATTATTTTTATGATAAATTGTTCTGTGATAAAGAAGTGGTAATTATTTTTTATATCAATTTAATTTAAAGAGAATATGAATTATAAAGTATGAGATTTATTATAATGATGATATACTATAATGGAGTTAAATGTGTATTTTTAGCTTGTCTAATAATTGTTATTGTTATTACAGGGTCTACTATATTATACTACTCTACTGTTACCATGGTTACTATTATTTAATAAAATACAACAATGAAGCAAGGATCAACTGCGTTTTTAAATTATTCAACGAACCCTATTACATTAGTTATACTCTTTTTAAGTTTTGCAAAATTTCAAATTTTTAGAAATAAATGACCCATTTTTAGTTCTATGGCAACGGTAGATACTTTTGATAATTACAAACAAGGATCTTGGAGAGACACCTTCGCCTTAATATTATGTACATATAGTTTGAAATACAAATTGGAGGAAAAAAATCCATTTAAATAAAATTCCTTTTTGTTTCCATGGATTCAGTTAAAAATTCGTCTCCAACCGATTACATAGACTGTACCCCTTTTTTTTAACCAGTTGAACCAAAAGAAAAGATTGAGATTTTATTGCTTCAAGAGAATTGGTTGTTCGTTACTGAGAAAAAAAGAGATTTCAAATTTTCGTTTTTTATACTTCGTATGTTTCAATGGAACTGGTCGCCATTTTGAAGAAGGGACACTTGTAACAATGTGTCCCCCTCTCCCTCATACATAAGTACAGTCATGATATTTTACTGAGGGGAAATTGGCTCGGGGGAAAATCGCACTCTATAACTATTACACAGAGGAGGGTTTTTCACCGGAAAACTGAATCTGGTGAGGGATTACTGTAGGAGAAACCCTATAGCCTGTTTTCTGTGGGAGAAATTCTACTCTAGAGCCCGTTTTCTGTGGGAGAAATTCTACTCTAGAGCCTTTTTTCCGGGGGGGGGGGGGTCCTACTCTAGAGCCAGCGCCAGCTTTCGGGGGGGGGGGGGGGGGTAGAGGGGGAAAGCCTACTCTACAAGACCGGTAAAACGACTGTAGGAAGAGTTGGCCATAAGAGGAAAACAATTTTTATTTTATTTTATTTTTTTTTATATTAAGGTCCCTCTGTTTGTCAACCCTTAATTTTCCGTCTGTTTGTCAACACTTAATTTTGACGCTATTACTTAGTTTTCAACCTTTTTCAATTTTTGTCATAATACTTTACAATAATAGAAGACGCCAATAAATTTTGGGGAAATATCGCTTTTTCTGTCTGACTCAGGCTTTATGTACAATAGTTCAAAAAGTTTTCATTGTAAGGATTTCAAAGGAGATGGGCGAACAAGACGAGCAAAATGCCTATTGTGCGAAAAAAAAAGAGTCAAAAATTAAATCAGAATTATGACAAAATTTTCTTTGATATTTCATTTTACATTAACGTATGCTTTTTGTAAAATTTCCACAATTGGCAACAATATCAAAAAGATTGAAATTGTTTGTCTCTGAAATACTAGTAGCATACACACACCAAAGAAGTCAAAAATTATCATTTCTTCATACTATAACACAATTTTACCGTATAAGTGGGTTTTCGTCCCCCCCCCCCTTTTTTTTTAAATAATATTGACAAATCGTTTGTTTTGTTTATTTATTGTTTTAACGTCCCTCTCGAGAATTTTTCATTCATATGGAGACGCCACCACTTGGCGGTGGAGAGCTGTAAATTTTGACCTATACTCGGCACTGAAAGCCATTGAGCAGTGAGGGATCTTTTTCGTGCCAGCATCTACTGCGACACTGGACCTCGGTTTATACGGTCTCATCCGAAGGACCGATCTCCACGTCCCACAGTGGGATTCGAACCCGCGACGCAAGGATCAAATCCTTACTCCGCGACTCTAGAGCGAAGACCCTAACCACTGCGCCACGCGGGCGACTTGACAAATCGTATAAATAAATTGAAATACAGTCAAACCTCGTTATCTCGATAGGACCAAGAAAAAACTTCGAGATATCGAGGGTAAAATACTTAAAGAATACATATGTTGGAACTTCCAAATCACGTCGACATATGACCGTCACTGTAGCTCAGTCGGTAGAGCGCTCGCTCCATGATCGGAAGGTCGTGTGTTCGAATCACGGCCGCGACTGACCTAAGTCAATAAAAAATAGCAAGCAACTGTTCCTTCGCCAAGCGTTCGGCACTTTGAAGTGAAAGTTGCGGGTCTTTCGGATGAGACCTTAAAAACCGAGGTAGACGTTGGCACAATAAAGAACCCTCACTGCTCAATGGCCCTGAATGATGAGTAAAGATCTAAATTTGAAGCCCTTCACCGGTATATAGTGACGTCTCTATATGAGTGAAAAATTCTCGAACGGGACGTAAAACAACATACAATCAATCAATGCTCAACTGAGTTACATTGACTCTGCTGTTTTTTAAAAAGATTTCTTTCCCTCTAGATTCCCATTTAACAAATGTTGCCACCCATAGACCAAAGAGGTTTTGATTTAACCTAACTTGAATCCACAAATTTAAAATATAAGGATGCTTTAATATCAATATTACCTTTCTGTTCTGAAGAAGATTTTATAAAGATATTTTTCCTGTATGCATGTACATGTATTATATAAAATTTAATCCCCCATTGTTGACCCAAGCTATCATAACAATTCATTGCTTGAAAAAAAAATCCAACAACTTACTTGCAGGAATGTTAGCATATTAAAATGATTCAGTGTGTCTCTGCTACTCTTGAAAAGATTCCCAATAGTGGCCCAAGCCTTCCCAGTGGGGCTACTCATGTACAATACAATGTCACAGCATAGCCAGTACAAACTGTACAAGGTCGCAAAATTCATTCATTATTGATTGTACACATATTTATCAGCAAGTATACAAAACAGTTTTAGATGTGCTCTTATATATTCATTCATATTACATGTACTTAAACTTACGACATAATTTGTTCATTAATGATAGTACTTATTCCTGGTTAACAACAATTGCAAGAAACACTTTTAGATGAGCTCCCGTATACTCATGCATATTGTATAACTCATAAAAAATGATATAGATTTACAACTGTTACATGAAATATTTAATTAAACTTATCACAGACATTAAAAACTTATACATTCAGTATGTAACTCTTTAATCCATAACATAATACTTTCCAAATCAAAATGGCTTTCCTCCTCAGAGGAGACACAACAGTAGTTCTGTGTCCATTACACATCATTCAAGGTATAAATCCTGACAAACATGGCTTAAAATAATTTAAACAAATGTAAAGAATGTTGTCAATAAATGAAAGGCATGTCAAGATCTCTACTCATGTCTCAACAGTCAAGGTCACAGAAAATGCTGAAACAAAAATTCCAAAATGTCCCAAGAGCTATTCAAACTTCAGGGGGGTTGAAGAAAAATAAATTGTTTCAGTTTGGTGCATAATTATATCTAGTCTCCTCAATCTCCAATCTAGAATAAGCTACAACACTCACAAAGCCATAAAAAATGGCAATGTAATATATGTATATGGAATGTGCATATCTTTACATAAATTCTAAAATGACATTTGAAACACATTTCCCTGAATTATGTGATACAGAAAATTGACTACTCAGTCTGGTGTTTCTATAGATATAACTGGAACCACAACCTTGGTCTGGTCTGTAGGTTTGTATTTTTTGGCAGAATCTGTTTTAGTTTGTGGGTCAGATTGCTCCTGATTACGGTGATTTTTATGTAAGGAGTAAGAGATGTTTCCATATTCCTGCAGGAATGGACATACTCCAAGAACAAACAAACAAAAATCTTTTCTCATTCCAAACCACCCTGAAAGACAAAAATCTGTGTCTAAAAATGTCATGTTTTAAAATACATTTAAAAATAGAGTCTCTTTCTGATTACATTTAAAGAAATTCAGCACGAGCATTGTCAGTTTGAATTAAAGATTACTGTTAAATCTTATATTCTTGTAAAATTCCTGAATTCGATGAACATCTATTTTCATATGTAAAGAAGCTTCAATGGCAAAATACTTACATTGATTACCTCCCTTGGCTCCAAATGATAGACAGATCATTGTAATGAGAGACACAAATAATGGAACAGTTATGGCAGTGTATTTAAAATGATTATCTCCATCCAAACGATTGGCTAAAAGCACCTGCCAATAAATTCATCTCACAGGTGAGAGGAAATTACTGTACACCAACTTTTATTCATGGCAACTTAAATTTGGAAATTTGTCAGTTTGAAATCCATCCATGACTACTGTAGACCAGGAAATTTTCACTCCCATTTTATTTTTGCTCCTTTCACCCTCCTCACAAGTGGGTGAATTTAAAATTGGAAAAATTTAAACTAGAAAGAGTTAATTCTTTAATGGGCAAATTTAAAACTGGAGAAAACCGTATGCAATGTGATGGGGGGAAAATTACAAGGGGCGAAAATAACCCTGTATACAGTAATCGTCAGTATTATACATATGTGTATAACAAAACATTTATTGACTGTGTTCTCAAGAACCAAATTGTTTGCCTGAGGCCGTTAGGCCGAAGGGAAACAGTTTAGTTCGAGGGTCGACAAAACACATTTTGCCCGAGAACACAGTCAATAAATGTTTTGTTATACCTTTTATTTCATTATTATTTTTTTTTTTTTGACATGCATGTTTCTTGTGCTGGCCTCCCTAATATAAATTTCCTTTACCAGCACTGAAGTTAAACTCGGTCAATTTTGTCACTGTCGAACATCAACGAATGCAAATGAGATTTAGCTTATCCCACCCATTATGTGACGTAAGCGGTCCAATTTCTCATCAACAGGTCTAATATCTCGTTCAGCGGTCAGACATCGATTTTGTTATGACAGTTCAGTAAAACATTGGAAATGTTAGACTTTTTTAGTATAGATTTATATAGGGAAAAACTTTTAAAGGTATAACAATAATTTTTGCTACTCTTGAAATACTCTCCATAAATTCATAATTAAACTAAGTCAAAGTAAAGTTGCAAAACTCCAAAATATCTCTCATACTTGAATAAAAGTTGTTTTACAGTAAACAAATATGACAATTCCAGTTTTGAAACATAAAATATATCATATTTAAAAGATCAGATGCTTAAAGAAGCTGTTTTTCAAACCGAAACATACCTCAAATATAAGTAATGGAACAACAAGAAAGGAGTAGCCTACGGCTGACGAAACATTTCCGCGCCTGTGTTGAGGCACAATGTCAGGAGATTTTACTAGGATGATTGCCAGAATAATAGCATATAGAACTCCAATCATGGCAGTGCACATCACAATCCAAATCGGGATAAAAACAATCTAAAAAAAAAAACCCATGGTCAAATATCATATGACTTACTCCTAATTATTAATTTTTTAAAAAGAAACCAGTAATCTTCAGATCAAATTATCTAATCTGATCATTGAGGGGAGTCTACCAGACGTGTTTAATTTTTGTATGGGAGATTATTGTTACATGGCTTGTCCTGTTTTTTTTGTATGAGAAATTATTTTGTATGGGAGATTATTGTTACATGGCTTGTGGTCAAAATAAAATCAAAATCATGTCACACAAAATTTCTCATTGAAATGTATCATATGACAAACTGCTTCTTTTGTTTATTTTATATACTATCCAATTTGTTGCAGTAGAATACAAAATAATACAAAAAAAAACTTCTTATTGTAAAGTTAGTTTTACATTTCCTCAGGTACATGTCTGTGTACCTTAACAACTATAAAGCTACACATCAAAGCGATTAATCCATTATTAATATAATGAGTTTTAAAGTATTTTGACTGTGCACTATAAGTTTTCTTTCCAGAATTTCCATTGTATAATTACCTATCTTAGAGTTCCTTTCACTGTACATTTATTCCACAGTGTTTTAACCAATTACATGTGTACCTACTCATAATGAGTCATTATCTACTTACCACCCAACTCCAGTCAATATACTTGTCAAGGCGCAGTGCCAGGAATATAAACTGTAATATGTTCACTGAGCAGAAGAACTCCATCTACAAAAAAATAATAAGTTACTTTGGAATATTATTTTAAGAGAAAATAAATAGATGTATCATCACACTTACAAGACTGACTATGTAAACAACTAAAAACCATTTCTATGAAGATAATTACATGGTACTTTGTCTTTGATTAATTAAATCTCATCTCTCTCTCAGACACAGATACAAGTTTCAATATTAACACAATCTAATTAAAATTAGAACTTCCATCCACTCCCCAGTTTTTTTATACGTTGTGAGGAATAACGTATATAAAAAAAGAGAGTGGATGGAATATCTAATTTTAATTAGATTAAATATTAACAGTTATCTTACCTCAAAGGACCTTTCATTCTTGACCGCCCATATACAGATCCCTATGGAGACTAAAGACATGAACATGAGAGGAATAAAAACTAGGATCCACGAGTGAATCTCTGTCTCCAGGTTATTGCATGCCAGAATCTCAAACATCAACAACAACAGATGCATTCCTGTACATATCACCATGGCTTTAAACTGTACATGGCTGTTGTTCTCCATTCTAAAACAATGAATAAATATAAGGTTTATCAACAAGTAACCAGTTACTCAAGTATCAAATTAAATAGGTGATATCACCAAATCGATTAGGTGATATCACATATTCAAACTATGTATGAAATAACACCTGCTCCCAAGACTTTACATCTACTGCATCCATTCACTCTATACAGGGAGAATACATTTCAGTCTCTTTGCACATAAATAACAATCACAGAGAGAAAATATCAATAAATATATCAAAACTGACTGCAAGTCAATTGTGTCAGACTATAAAACAGGGGGAAAGGAGAGCCCAAATTTGCTTAGGGTCAGTCAAAACTTAGTTTTTCATATTGTAAAACTGGGTTATATATGGACCCTTTTTTTGTACACATATATCAAGTAAATTCAAACAGCTGTTAAAATAAATTTAATGGATTTTAAACTTATGAGAAAATTATTTTACAAGATTTCAAAATAAAAAAAGGGTAAAATCTTGGATATTCCATTTAGGTCAGATTTTAACACAAAGCTCCAAATATGCATACATTAATATAATACAGCTTCAATGACAGTTCAACTAAATTCAAATCAACATGCCCCTGAAAGCTGTTATTTCCATTCCTCACCAGTATATTACCTGTACTGGGGATTTTTCCATTACCTGAAGTATATTACCTGTACTGGGGATGTTTCCACCAGATGTAGCTTCCTAAGGAAGCCCCAACAATGACAAAGATCTTCCATATCCAGATAGGAAGGAAGATGACCCAGTAGCTCCATTCTATTGTGTTGTCTAACCTCAGGGCAAATAATAGAGAAAACAACAGCAGGCAAGTGAAGACCAAAAATTTACTGAAAATAAAGACATGTTCAATAATTATAACTTGTAAGTTTAATAGAAATGTAAATCAAAGAAAGGATAAAAGAAATACTATCTAATGTTTTTATCATAACCTTAGAACAGATACATCACTTTTTTTTCTTTTAGAAAGAATTGAAAATATGACATGTATATCACTGAATAAAAATCAACTTAAATGTTACAAAATTACCTGGAAGATTCCAGTAAATCAACAATAGAAAAATTCACTGCAGTTTGATTACATTTTCAGATTGCTTTAATTTTGTTATTGGACTCTTGGAGACAAAACTCTTGGTTGTGATAATTTGTGGGCAAATTAGTTTTGATTTGAGCACCTAGAAGTGCTAGGTTTACCCATAGAAGCCAGTACATATACTTTGTTTGATTTTACGTTATCACTATATATATACAAAAAGGATATTGTATATGTATATATAGTGATCATGTAAAATCAAGCAAAGTATGCACTGGCCCCTGTAGGTTTACCGTATATACTTGCTTATAAATCAGATTTTTTGGTATTATATTTTGGTTGAAAATCTATGTCTGACTTACAAGAGAGTTTCAAGTTAGTTAAAACTTAGTTAAATGGCCTGTTTTCCACTTATCCACAATTTAATGTTTCAGTTTTGACAGTACAAACATGTTAAGGAGGTTTGATCCTGAGCTTTTGGGCAGATTTTTGTCTGGAGTTCTATTTCAAAAATTCTGCACCATAATTTAGTACAATAAATTTGGATTCTTCTATGCCAATTTAACTAATATATCAAATCAAACACCCACGCATAAATTCCATACAAAAGGCATTAAGTGAGGAACTATATTTTCTGGTGGAAGTTTATTTTAAAGAAGAAATTAAAATGATCAATTTTTAAGCCCCGTAATCGAAGATTTGGGGGTATATAGTTTTTGCCCTGTCCGTCTGTCTGCCTGTCTGTTTGTCTGCAAAAACTTTAACATTGCCCATAAATTTTGATTGGCTGGAGCTATGGCTTTCATATTTCACATGAATTTGTATTCCTTGTGATAAGACCTTCCCTTGGGTACCAACATATTTGACTTCTTGACCTTGGAGTTTGACCCACTTCTGCAAAAATTTACCCAACTTTATCCTTGGCCATTACTTTCAAACAGTTGGTGCTTAGGGCTCTCATATTTCACATGTGTATAATATAATTTATTCATCATGATAAGACCTTAATTTCCATGGGTGTACATATAATTTGACTTTTGACTAAACAGAGAACTCTAGTGAACCTTAAATAACTCGAGGTTTATATGGTGAATTCAAATGAATTTTGTGACTTTGTAAACTTTCGTTTCTTCCAAGTCAATTTGTTCCAGGTCGATTTTGGAGAGATGCGCCTCCAAGTGGAAGAAATTGTATCTGTTTTCTGTTGATTGAACGACAACTACACCAACAATTAAGAAAATTATCACTGTAGATTCTACTATGACAATAAAATAAATTTAAAGGTTAGAGTACTGAACAATTCATAAATAAAATCAGTATTTGGGTTTGAACTGTTGAACAGGGTGTGATACTTATCACATGTAGATCTGTGTGTAGAACAGTACCCATTACATACCTAGGGTTGAAATCCTGGAAAAGGGTTTTCAAATTCATTCTCAATCATCCATATCTATCGGGGTGAATCTAAAAAGCCTTAAATTAGTCTTGATTGCAGATTAGTTCATTCTATGATTCTTACAGACCCTTACATGACGCACATATCCTTGAAAAAAATCTCTCTCTGAGAGAAATGCTAGACATTTTCTTAAATTTACAAATTTATTGACAATATAATCACCAGTCTCATGAAAGTGATGCAGTAATGTTCTCATGAATATTAAGAAATTCATTACAAACTTTTTTTTAATTTGATGTAAGCATTGGACGTGACGTTCAAAATGATATTCGTAAAATATGCAAATGTATCTCCATATCAATTTCAAAATGGTATCACCTCAGATATAATAATATTTGTAAGGGCGTTTGATGTTTTGGAGTAATAAACTGTGAACTGAAAAATCCTAACCCCTACAAATGTATTTTTAAACTTTTCGTTTCATTACGAATAGAAAGAGGATGGTATAATAAAAAGTTCACCGAAATCGAAATATTCCCCGTTATTTCCCGTAGAAATGTCAGAAAAGGAATTTGGCGCAATGGAATCAGCCAGTACTATCACAGAAGCAGTTCAGAATCAAAATGTGCATGAACTGTATATGTTGGTAGATAAGGGTGGGTATGACTTGAACAAGAGGGATAAAATGGGAAGAACTGTGTTATTCTTTGCTGCCTGTCGAGGAAATTCGGAAATCACTAGGATATTATTAGAAAACGGAGCTGACGCGAGAATCGTAGATAGGAATGGGAATACTCCTCTGCATTGGAGTGGTCATTGTGAGATTATTGACCTAATTGTTAGTTATGGTGGTGATGTGTTTGCAAGGTATATATCATATTAATTGAAATAATATTTTGTCATATGAATTTAATTGGGAAATTAATCAAGACATTGCATTCGACAAACAAACCAAGTACAAAGTTATGATGAGCAAGGGAGCCTCTTCCAACATAGATAGAATGTTCTATCGTTAAAATGATAAATGTCCTACGGACCCGGTTTAACAATAGAATGTGTTCCGTGTATTTTCAATGTAGCAAAGAAAATACGGGAGATAACTCTAACTCAGTGCATTTACCATGAAAAATCCCGAGAGTTCCGAATGTCAACATATGGTATTAAATTTGAAACCAAACGAGTAAAAAGCATTGGTGATAAAGTGTTGAATTCTTCCATTATATGGACTAAATTTTTAGATGAAAGGTATTTACAGTCTCAAAAAGGTTTGTTATGATTAATTTGACTGTTAATTTCAATGCAACTTCATTAATTTTCTCCAAAATCGTTTCAGAGCGATTCTGCAATTTTCTGCTACATTACGGGTATATGGGAGGCATTCTAACTGTGGTGAAGGCCTGTCCCGAGACACAGTTAGATTATTCTAACTACTTCCAACATTGTGAATTTCTTGGCCCCTGGGCAGGGGGTTCTGGTGTTAGGGTGGGTCTCTAATTACTGTATAGTTAAAATGGGTTAATTCTTTGAAAATCTTATTCTCTGCTCCTTATTAAGGAAAAAAACTAAATTCATGGTTATGATGAACAAGGATCACTAGGTGCATCTTTCAGAATTGTGAATTTCTTGGTCCCTAGCTCAGGGGGTCGTGGGGGTGCTCTATGAATAATGTAGTGAAAATGCATTGTATCTTTGAAAATCTTCTTCTCTGCTCCTGGGTATTAAAACATAAATAAGTATGGTAATGATGGTAATAATGGTAAGCATGGTAATGATAGGTAAGGGTGCCTCTCCAATAATTTTATTGCCCCCAGGGTCAGGGGTTCTGGTGTTAGAGCAGGGCTCTATTGATTATTTATTGAAATTGCATTATTTCTTTGAAAATCTTTTTTCTCTGATCCTTGGCATTTAGTTAACAAATTAAATACATAGTTATGATGAGCCAGGGTGCCGCTTCCAAATTATGAATTTTGTGTCCCCTGGATAGGGGATTCTAGTGCTAGGGTGGGGTTCTATTGAATATTATCAATATATAGTGAATATGCATTGATTCTTTGAAAATCTTCTCTGCTCTTAGGTATTCAGCAGACAAACTTAGTGCATGTTATGATGAGTAAGGGTGCCTCTTCAAAAATTATGAATTTCATGACCTCACAGTCAAGGGTTCCTCTTTCTCTTGGGCAACATAGCTTCATCTATCAGTTTATTTCATTTTAGTTATATTTGTATGGATCCTTTATAGTGATGTATTATACTCAGGTGACTATTAAGACCCTTGGGCCTCTTGTTTTTTAGGAATAAAGCAGGATTGTTACCCAGACATATGGCAGCAAGAAGAGGGGTCTCAAAAGATGTCATTCAGTTTTTTCAGCGATTAGAAAAGTCAAGAAATGAGGAGAAAAAAGAGAGTTTGTCTGTTATTGTGACTTCCTTTAAAGAAATCCATGAGGAGCTGGGACCAAGGTACACAATTCTGTTCATTCTTGGACTCCTTTTCATTGTTCTTTACATCACCATTACTATTACAGGTATATCCAGACATTTTGAGACAAGGAATCCAATCATTGTGGAGACTCAGAGTATTAAACTTTAATTAGAGAATGAGATGTCATTTCCTTGAAAACTTATAATTTTTATGTTGTATGCTGCTAATGATGTTATAATTTTTGCAAAGATTCTTTAAAAAAAGTTCTTTATGATCATATCCAGTACAATAAAGAATTGCTGTATTACCAAAGTAATCAATGACAATTACAGACAGTTAAAATGATATCTTCGTCGTGTAGTTAATGTATTATGATGCTTTGATTAACCAGATTTTTTGCTTCTTTTATTATAATGTATTCATTCATAAGATGTTATATTAATTTAATAAAAGCATACTAGTATTTGTACTTCTTTTAAAATTGGTTTAATCATAAACTACATTTTACTATTTTGATAATCAAAAAGAAATCAGAAAATTTGATACTTCACACACTTGTTATGCTTTAAATTTGTGACCATGATTCACAGAACTCTTAAACTCTCTCTCTCTCTCTCTCTAGTCAAAGTCACTGTAGTGTTAATAGTTGTAGACTGATAATGAGAATTGAGAGCTGAAAAAGGAGCATTGTACAACTTGAGAAGTTTTATATTTTGGTGCCTGAAAAAATATTTTCTTATATTATTGAAATGGTATGGTGCACTTGATATAATGGTCTACTATATAGTGCAATTAAAAACATCCAAAATATTTCAATATTTATATTTAATTAATCTAGCTATATGAACAAATACAAATTATACCAGTACCTGGCAAAAATAGTCATAATCATCTGAAACAAGATCAATGAAATTTATGTGTTTTGCATGGGATATATAGAGAATTATTGAGTGATCATTGAAAAAAATACAGATTTATATCTACATTGTATTTGAACCAACTTAAACCAGAGAAATCTGGAATGGGTTATTTTCTTTTGATACCAAACTATACTATTATATTAAAATCTTTTGGGTTTAACTTGGTCTTTATATCAAAAATTGATTATATACATGTACTTCTGACAGTTATCCTATTTTCCAGAAAGACTTTTACATGGGGCTATTATGGAATTCCATATACGACAGCCAACTGCTTACTGCCAACTGCTCACTGCTTACTGCCAACTGCCAGCTGCTTACTGCCAACTGCCACTGCTCATATATGATATTGCATACTTTGTTATCTTTTATATCTTGAAAGCTAAATATGGAGTATCTGAGCTAAAAAAAAAAAATAAATAAAAATACGAGATTGAGTGTAGATAAACATTTAGTGTAGATATTTACGTTCAAATTAAAATTTTCACCAATTTTGAACTTGAATAACCTCAGTTTAAAGTCAATTTAACTATAGAAACATGAGGTTCGGGGGTCCCCCCCCCCCCCCTGGAATTTGCAAAGTTATTAAATGTATATGTGTATAGCAAAGCAACTAAAAATGACCTTGGACCCCCTTGTTTGCTTGTCAAGAATTTTTTTTGTCGGGGGTGCATGTCACCCCCTGGAAAAAATTTCTGGATCTGCGCCTGATAGGGTTTATTCAACCATGCTTATTATAGTCATATATGGCGTATTATTTTTTAAGTTCAGACTAACTCAAATTAAAAAGATCTTTCTATTTGTTTTATTACTTTCTATAAAGATAAGACTTTCCTGTAAATTACACAATTTTAATCAATCACGTTTCAAAGGAATCAAAAATTTAAAACCATAATCAATTTATTTACAGACTCCGCATTTAAATAACAGACACAGTTTAGACGTTGCGCACAGAATTGGGGCCCATTTTGTAACGTCAAAATAGCATCATTAAAACGCTTAAAGTTTACGTCCAAGTGAAAGTACTGAAACGTAATTGTAATTTTCAGTAATATTTCTAGTATAAATACATATACCAAAAAAATGCTAATCCCAAGACCTTTCTAAAAGTTAATTTTTCTATCGTACAAGTACCCCCCCCCCCCCCCCCCTCGTCAAAACAGCTACAAGGTATTGAATTATTTGCCTGCAAGGGAATGTGGGAATTAGATTTTTTAAAAGAGGAAATTCTTTCCTTGCCTTTACAGTTCCTAAATCCGCTATTTATTTTTAATCATTGTAAGAACTACGCAACTCTCGATTCCCGTCTACATTTTACACCCATTTAATTCAAAATTCATGGGATTTTGGCCATTAAAATTTGTTTGAAAGCAAGGAAAAGTTCATTAGTAATGGATTAATAATTCTGGAACCAATATCAAAAATTTTAATTGCTCTTATTTTCACCTCATTTCATAAAGGGGGGGGGGAGAGAAAATTTTACCGATTGAAATCAGGCTTTAAATCATCAGCAAATTTTCAAATACACATGGAAATGGATAAATAACCTTTAAATCTCTCCATATGTTTAACTTATGTAAAATTCAACAAATTTTTTTCAGATTGACAAAGAACTTTTTTTTTATTTGTTTTCTTATTTGAATTTGGTAATAAAATACATGTGACTATTTTTGCTGTTTTTAGTCTGTAAACATACCCCCCCTCCTCCCCCTGTGAAACAACAAAACCTTTGCTATGAATTCGTGAAATATTCATAATAATTGTAAAAAAGGAATTGTTGTTTTGCGAAGGGGGGGGGGGGGGGGAGGTATAAATATCCGTGTTCCGTTGATTTGTATAGTGATAAACACAAGTTTTACCAAAATTATATACTAACTCTTTAATTTCTCAATTAAGTTATGTTTTATGAAAATTCACATAAATATCTATATAAATATGATGAAAAAAAATAATTCAAATATGTTAAATTTGAAAATTGAGTTGGAGGTAGGTCGCAGTTCTTTTTCTTGCAATCAAAAGATTTATTCGAGCATGCGTATTATAGATGTTAAGATATCAAAATAGGCAATATCATCTATAATCATTGACAGTTGGCAGTAAGCAGTAAGCAGTTGGCTGTCGTATATGGAATTCCATAGGCTATCCAAAAAAAAAAAAAAAGGCACCAATTTTTTTGATAGCGTGCATAGCCTAGTGGTGTACACTGAACTGTTTTTGTGTTTGGGGTCTTTGGTTCAATCCAATCAAATTCCATTATATTTTTTGTAATTTTTAAGACTCACATGCCTATTGGTTATGCAATGTGGCATAATGCTATTATGTTGTTGGATTATTCATTCATTTATTTCTTTGTTTATAATTTATATTTTATTTTTATATTGTTTAATTAATTATTGTTTATTATTTTATCTATTTATTAAATATTAATTCATTTACTTACTTACTCTCGTATTTACTTTTTTTATTTTATTTTTATTTATTTATTTTATATCTATTTATTTATTTATTTATATATATTTGTTTCTTTGTTTATTTATTTATTTACTTACTTACTCTCTCACAAACTTATTTATTTAAAATGTGTATTTATTTATTTATTTATTTATTTATATCCATGTACTTATACTCTCTTTTAAATTTATTTTATTTTTATTTCTTTTAGTTGCCAATACTATCTTACTTATTTTTAATTTTTTATTTATTTATTTTATTTTATTTAAATTTATTTTAATTTTAAATTATTTATTTTATTTTTTATTTTCATTTAAAAGAGACTTAAATGAGCATTCTACAGTAGTAGTACATGTACTACTGTGTACTATGCCCATAGGCTCTCCTTGAGCTTAATTGTCTTAAAAAATATATATCAACTATACTATGAATATATTAATGTTTATAGTATAGTAGATTGGTTTTGTTGTTCTTGTTGTTTTTGTTTGTTTTGTTTGGGTTTTTTTTTTCCAACAATTAACCTGCGGAGTGCTGAATGACTGTGTCTAAAAAATATGAACAAGGAACGATAACTCAGGAAATTAATTTCCATTGAGGCATAAGCGGCTGAATTAAAAAAAAAAGAGAGAGAGAGAAGAAGAAAAGGAGTGTGGTTGTTTCTATTCTTATTGCAATAGAGTTAAATAGATAAAAAGAAAAAAAAATTTAATTTGAAGTACAGAAACTTAAAGATCAGCAAAGAACTTATTTTCATTTTTGTTAATGATAAATGCGGTCTCTGAAAACATTATTACCAAGAAGACAGGAAAGGTATAGAGTTTGACAATACAATTATTGGCTCTATAGGATCATGCATTCAGAAATTATTAGTTTAAGAATTTTGGCAATACATCCTTCTGGTCGAAATGCTGGGGATGGAAAAGAAAATATGCTTTAAGGAATTATTAACGTAATTCTTAGAATTTTGCTGTTCTTGAATCTCGATCGTCATCTTTAGTTTAAAAAATATAGATTAGTAAGTGTATGGTTAACGTTATGTCCCTGTTTTTTAGTATAACTACGAACTGTTAACGTGGTTAGAATTTTTAGCCATGATGTTGGGATTACTACTTTGAAAATTTAATTGCTGTCATGGCCAGTTTCTGTCATTTCCAATGTGAGTAGTCGTGCATTGAAACTAAGTGATATTAATTTTCCTTTTCTCAACATTAGAAATGTTGACATATATTCATGGCTTCATTTAAAAATAATGTATCTATAAAATGAAGTTGAAAATTTACACAGAGACATTCATATGTAATGAAATGTGAAGATGACAAATGGTAACCATGCTCAAACAATACAAATTAAGAGCAGAGCTAACAGAGACCCCTGAAAACATCAGAGGTTGGATCATTCAGGTACCATGGAGGAGTAAGATAACTGTAGAATTGTAACTGTCTAAGATGGAAGTTTCTGACAGACATATATAGTAGAAGGTCCTAAAATCGACAGGGTCTGAATTTCGACGGTTTCATTATTTTGTTTATATCTCCTTCGATCTCCTAAGAATAAGACTCATCCTTGTAAACAAAACATGCAATTGCATCACCCACATGCAATCAAAATATACTTAATAACCTGTAAGTGAATTATTTCATAAAAGTTTTCAGACAAAAAAATGTCTTACTTACGTTAACTCACTTTTTAAAATATCTTTGGAATCATATTACCAGTAAAAGCTTGCAACACATAATTTGACAACGTCAACTGAAGATTCGTTGATGAAAATTACACAATCGTGTTATAGAAAAAGAGACCAAGACAATTTTATTTTGAGTTTAATGCAAACAATTTTTAGACAAAGTCGAGATGAGCTTATGCTATACCGTCGGCGTTAGCGTCGGCGTCCCAGGTTAAAGTTTTAGGAGCAAGTCCCATTCCCAAGTAACTATAAGCCCTACCTGGACCAAACTTGCATGGATGATGCATCTAGGGATGGACACTACCAAACTTGCTTCGGATGCTGGATCTGACCTAGATTTTCCAGATGAGTGACCAGGTTAAAGTTTTAGGAGCAGGTCCATTCCTAAGTAACTATAAGCCCTACCTG